CTTCTCTCTCTCTCTCTCTCTCTCTCTCTCTCTCTCTCTCTCTCTCTCTCTCTCTCTTCTGGGTTTGATTCAATCTATTTTGAGTCTGCTAGTCGATTTCAGTCTGTGGAATTTTGTTCTAAGTCTGTTTCAAATCTGTTTGTGTTTGTTATTGGACTATTTCAGAGAGTTTGAGCCCGTTATGAGTACCTTTTGAGTGTGCTTTGCTCTATATGTGGATTTGAATTGGTGTTAGTACTTCGAGTCATGTTTGCCATGGTTTTCTGTGCGGGCATTGCCCGCACGGCCCACACCCCAGGCCCTAAGCTAGCAAGTACTGTAGACCGTAAGGTAATTGCACTTCCTGGCTTCTTCATGCTGACCTGTGGGGTGTTTTTCGTTCTTTTTCTAGCAGCTCACTTGAGGCTGTTCTGATACTGGCACATTCAGAGATGCGGTTGTCCGATACCAGAATGACGCTGGCCAGTGCTGGGGTGTTGCCCTGTAACCTGCTGTCGGCAGGGGCGTGAGGCCTGATAGAGAGATCTGGGGATGGTTTGGGGCGGGCATTCCAAGGGACAGCCTTGTTGCTGTCGAGACGACCCTGGCCGGATCTGGGGCAAGGCGTGTTACCCTGTAACCTAGCAGATTAGCGGTGTGAGGCCTGGAAGAGCCTGGCAGGGAACAAGATAGCTTGGAGGGTTTTGGTTCAGTCTGTTGGATAACCCTTGGATTCTGGGTATTCCGATGATTTCTCTGGACTCCTGTGGATTCCAGAATGAGTTTAGTTACTCCAAACTTAACTCAAAGAGTGGAATCTTGGTTTTTGGTATTTGGCCTGCGGTTTTCTGAATACTTCAGTAGTTGTTTCTATGATCTGTTTGTGTGAGCCGAAGCCGGGTAATGGCCCCGAAAGCCCCCGATACCTCAGCTGTTCGGTATAGATTTCATATTGGATGCCGGGCCCACTTCCCAGCACGTGCTGCTCCTTGTGAGTAGACTGGAGCGTTGTTCCCATCCCAAAAAAAAAGGGTAAGTTCGGTTGTGGCACAAACGAGTTTGGAAAGGGCAACAAAATCACATGATGGCAATAAACTCGCGCGCCGAGTTTGAAATTGAAAGGGCAACGAAGGCATTTTTACTCGTGCACCGAGTTTGAAAGGGCAACGAAGGCATTTTTACTTGTGCACCGAGTTTGAAAAAGGGCAACAAAATCACACGCTGGCCACAGCCATTTTTACCGATATCACCCTTTTCAAACTCGGCACCCGATTTGATGCCCGCACATGTTTTTTTTGCCCTTTTGAAACTGAAAGTGTGACACTGCCGGAGTCATTTGATAAAAAAAAGGTTTTGAAGGCGCATTGTGATGGGTGTGGTAGCTATCCTCATTAGCGCTGCCATGGTTAGAGTCAGCATGATCCATATGCAGCTATGAAGTTATGAACAGAATCAAACAGGATCATTATTGACAGAGATGTGCTTGTGAGTGCAGGAGGGACTTGCTGCCAAGGAAGCAACCTTGCAAAGATATCGTGCTCAAATCAAGGAGCTGCAGTCAAAAATCAGCACCAAACAAGACTCCTTGAGGGAGGCCATTGAGAAGTATCAGCATTTGCATAATGAACACCATAAGTATGTCTGAACATCCAAGTCCATTTGCATCTCTTATTATTTGAAAAAGTGAGTTTGAAGTTTGAACTTTGAAGCTCTAGGGTTTTTGGTGTTCTAAAAATTGCTCGGCAACTTACAGCATTCGTACCCCCGTCCATTCTAGCGTTGCTAAACTTGACTGCACCAAACCACACTCACAAGTGCACTGCACCAAACCACATTTACAAGTGCACCTGCGTCATGCGTGGTCCAGACCTTTATTTTTATTTTTTAAGCCAGACGCCAGGCTGCCAGTGAAGTGATAAGAGCACCCTCGGCTATCATGTCCTGGTCGTCGGCTGGGTGCGTGGTGCACAGTACAAGACGGCAGAAGTGGTATTGTCCACCAAAAAATACCAAAATTAGAAAATCATAAAAGAGAGAACTGCACTGGAGTGCGGTGTCGACTGTGTTGTGTTTCGATTAGTGGAAACGACAGGACACTGCAGGTGCGGGTGGAGAGAAGTAACAAACTGCAAAACAAACAGGTAGGGGTACCTGTACCAGTCGTGCCAGTTCAACAATTGGCAAAAGTGGGAGGTACCGGTATCGCTACTGGTCGTTTTCTCGTGGGCTGGGGCAGGAGCCTGTACTGCTATCGGCTGCTGCTTTCACTATCATGGCATCTCGGTTTGTATGTTTGTTTGTTTGCTTGTCTTTTGTTTTTGAAAAAACTGCGCCTGTGACCGCTGCACAGTTCAGAATTCGCAGAAGTAAGGGCCTCGCCGCACCACTGTCGAAAATGCAATTTTCGACGGTTTCTCTTCGCCACACAGGCTGTCGAAGTCTGAGACGGGAAAAAAATTATCCAGTTGTCAGAGCATGCTTCTCGACAGCTCCTGTCGAAAGTTGTTGAATCCCCAGCCTGCTACTCCCATACTTTCGACACTCCTCGGCTGCGCCGTCGACTTCTCTTCGAAATTCGGTGAGAGGGGGTAAGGTCGGGATGGACTAATGCTTGTCGTAACCTCTGGCGCGTTCATCTTTTTCCATCTTGCATTCACAAGTGCGTGCCCTCTACAGTGCTGTGTGGCGAAGGGGGGGCAAACTGTCGAATGGAGGCTGTCGAATTTGTTCTGACAGCCGTCGAATATTTTCGCCTTTCGACTGTGGTGCGGCAAGGCCCTAACAGTCCACTGCAAGATTGGGCCGTGAGCAGTTCGAAACAGCAAGAAAAACAGTAAGCTATGCATTCCATGGCCTGCCGGTTCATAACTGGCAAAAACAAGAGGTGGCCTGGGCTAGTGGTACCTCCCTTTATCCCGTGGCCTGGCCTGGGAGCAGGTACCGGTAGCCCTCCCCTTTTTTTCTTTTTTTTTCTTTTCCCGTTTTTGGTTTCTGGCGGGAATCGGTCCCGGCTGGAAAAAGATCCCACTTTGTCAGAACAGGAAAAGCCACCCCGTCAACACCCGCCCCTCTCTCTCTCTCTCTCTCTCTCTCTCTCTCTCTCTCTCTCTCTCTCTCTCTCTCTCTCTCTCTCTCTGTCTGTGTCTGCTGCTCGGCCCACCAAAGTGCGAATGTATCAGATACATTCGCACCTTTTTCCTTTTCGGACATGCTAAACTCTCTCTCTCTCTCTCTCTCTCTCTCTCTCTCTCTCTTCTCGCCGCCCACTCCCGCTCCGGCTCGTGCTCTCGCTGCT